TTAAGTAGTAGTGTAATATGTTGAGTTATATTGAGGTGTTAGGCTTCGGTTGAGTGTTATGTAAGGAGGGAAAGTCGATCGAGTTGGCTAAGACACGTGTTGCACATGCCAAACCACTGCCTTCCTAGACAACAGGCAATGTTAGCTGACATGGGATTAGTCCAGAAAAAGCCTTTCAGAAATCACAAAGATACGTCTCATATCATCAGAAGTACTTCATATCAAATCGAATCCAAATTGTCTGATAAGTAGGAATGATGGACTTAGAAAACAGAATTTGACCTGGTTACAACACCACCCTCATCAGCATGAAATTACCAAATCAATACGAATGCGATAAGCAATTTCACTATGTAAATACATGCTGCTTTTATAATTTTATACACTTATCAAATCCAACAATCTACACCTGGTTTTGTTATCTTTACCAATTGGCCAACTTGATAGCGTAAAAATTACCCCCTGCTGATGAAGGATGGTTAAGTTACTGTATATATAAACTGAGATTTTGTAAATTCTGGTTTTTATATTACTACTTTGATAAAGCTATTAGCAGCAGCATTAAATAGCGAAACGACAGTAGAAACAACAATCTCGTTATGAATTTCAATAAAGCAAGAAAAACAATGGTTTGTGTAGAATAAAATGGTACCATCATTGTTTATTTCGTTGGCTTCTCATCAGCTGTTTACAGGCCAAAGTCATTATTAAGTATATCTACAGAAACAATTTTAACATACTTGCACACAGAGTTCATTTTTAAACAAAAATCAATCAATCAATATATGCATACAGTAGTAATATATATATATATATATATATATATATATATATAATATTAAACACTATTCCGGCCAATAATGACCATACACAATGGAAACTTTCGACATTACGTAATTAGATGAAAAAGCGGTGAAAATATCCAGTTACCAGGATGGGCAAAGAAAGACTTGTAACTGCTTCTTTCTGAACGCACAAATCAGGTTTCATGGGATTGATGGAAATGGCTTCAGTAAACTTGAGGAGAATTGAGCTATTTTACCTATTCAACAACACATTTTCACCTTATTCTATTTTCTACTGTCCTCGACATCTGGGTCCATGATTCTCCATAATCTGTCATCTCCTCCATGTTACCCTCGCACCGATGACCTACTTGTCGCTTCCTATTGAAATTCCACTTGAGCAGCGATACCCTGCATTTTGCTCAATGTCATTCGACGGTCCCCTCAACGTATGCCTGGTCAATCTCTATTTTTTTCAGAGTGTTTGTCAGATAACAGGATTCTTTGTAATTTGTCCATTCTGGCTATCTGATCTTCAGTATAGAATGTAGGCAGCTACTGTTGAAATTCTGAAGCCTCTTGGAAATGCTTTACGTGACGCGAGTGTCAAGCATAATAGGTGTGCTCACTTGAATATTTGAATCGTGGTGTTCTTTATGCTGGATGAAGCAGATTTCAGAGTGATCAAACTCTGCCTTACCTTTCTGATCCTGGATGTGACGTCATTCTCTGTGTCGCCTGCAATTGAAATGATGCTACTTAGTTAAATAAAAGATGGAGATATCCTTCAAATTCCTCTTCTCATTGATTGATCGTGATTAGTGCTTGTTGTTGTTGTTGTTGTTACTGCTGTTTAGGTATCTTTATCACCTCTGTCCTCTCTAATGTTCACTTCAAGTTCTCTCTCTCTCTTTGTTGTATTCTTCTGCCAATTCGTTGGTTTTCGCCTGTAGATCTTCGAGTTTGTTTATGAAGTGTCAGTCAATTTCACTGGCTATTCAGTGCTCATCAGCAACTGCCTATGAAATGAATTTTTCACAGTCAAATCGGGAGAAAAGCCATAAATATTCTCCAGTAATAATCCTACTGTTATGTATTGACTGACTGACTGCCTTCAACACAGAACTTTGCACAAATTGGCAGCAGTTTAAGTTGCAACACTCCCTCCATGTACCACACAAACCAAGAGAAGAGAGTATAGAGGGATTAAAAAAAGAGAGATAATAAACAGAAGTGTGATTGAGGGAAAAAGAGTAGTAATATGGAAGAACAACAATAGGGTTTGATTGGATATGATTGGCAAATCACGAAGAGTGAATGCATCTGCACCAGCCATTGACAACGAGGATTTTGAGCCAGCCATATCACTACTAATTGTCTGCAGTCTTCATTGGTTCTTACCATCCCGAAGACACCAACCAGTGTGGAAGGAAGTCTACATTTCCCTACGTGACTGGATGGCTGGCTTAAACTAACTGCTGTGAATTTCATTGACTGATTCCATGTTTGCCTTTCACCACCACTAGCTCTTTTCCATTCCAACATGATCCTATGTCAGTCAGTTAACATTGCCTGTTGTTGAGGAAGGCGATGGCTAGTGATGCATACGTAACACATATCTTAACCATCTCAATCAAATCAGCTGCTTCACAACCTCGTCGATTGATTTTCCCTCCCACCTACCTGGCACTCGACTGATGCCTAACCTGAGTATTACTCAAATTATTATACCACCACACCACATGGGCGATAGACCACAGTCAACTAGCCTTTTCATGTCTTTAGATCAACTGAATTCAGATAAGATGTGTTATACAACGTTAGTTCACACGTTTGTATATTCACATAGTTTACCCGAGTTCTTATTACTTCTCCATCCATCTGCGTCCATCTACTTGTTAAAAATAAGATTAAACTACTTCAGTCTCTCTCTTCTCTCATCTATCTGTGTGATTTTATGCTTTAATCTCTCTCCTCCTCCTTATTTTTCACTGTAATTCTATTCATGTGAATTCACATTAAATATAACAATTATTATAGAACTGTAATAATTATTGTATAGTTGTCCTTATACACAGTTATTATTATTATTATTATCAACATCATCACGATTATTGATTACCTTCCTCTGTGACTGATTGACTGACTGACTGACTATTCAACTGGTTGTTTTCAGGTTACCATTTTGTTTCTCTGTCTCCCTCTCTCTCTCTCTCTCTGTCGCATGAATTGTGAATGTGTTGTGTGCACTGTTTACACCAGGATGTCATGTTTCATGTGTTTTCATCATCTGTGTGTGCTTGATTAAAACTTTCTAGTTGATCAACAGATTTGATCAAGTGTGTGTTGGTTTACAGGCATGTGATTGATTACAGAATTGATGACGAGGAGCTGACATTCGGTTAGAGAACCAGCCATTGGAAAACCTGCAAACCAACACTTGACGATTCATGTGATGCTCACTAGCGACTGGCTTGGCCCTATTCATGTTGGTAGCTAGTTTCCTGGGATTCTAGTGAGAAGTCGTAACCAGTGGGGTACACAGCAGGTCGGGTGTGAGGACAAATACTCACTAGCGATGACACTGGCTAGTGCCAGTCGCGCTATATCGTACTTGAATTGGGAGAAGTTGGAATTCATGGACTAGCTGGCCATTGGGTTGGAAGGTCCCAGTGGCTGAATGGTCTACTGGCTTGTTGCTTGTAACCGGAACATCCTGTGGTGGGTGTGTACTGGTGAAGAGTCCCAAACTAGACTGACGAAAGTGATGCCCGGTACTCCCTGTGGCTGGTTTTCCAATGGTTCTTTAACTAATGTCAGCTCTTGATCAATCCTTTAACCAGAAGATTACACTCAACTTGTATAACGAAAGTGTCAACTTGATTATTACCAATAGGGTTGGTGGAGGAGACGTGATTGGCTTAGTGGTGAAAAAAGAGAGGGAGAAATGGGGGGATATGCGAATTCAAGTTTCAGGAGGATTAGTAGATAGGTGGTCCTATGGTAGATTTTTCGTCAGTCACGTGGGAGATCCGAGTTTGACTGCCGACCTATGTGCTCCTTAATCCTGCTTAATTTACTAATCGATATATTTCAAGAGTTAGTATGTAGGGATTTGATTGGTTTTTCAAGTTTTAACCACGTATTGATTTCAGTTGGAGAACCATTGGAAAACCAATAGGGAGTACTCGACAGGTGTTTAGTCAGCTTAGCTTGGGACACATCCTCAGTACGCACCTACTGCAGGCGATTCGAACCCAGGACCTTCCGGGTACAAGTCAAGTTTGTAGACCATTCAACCACTGGGATCCGACTCAGTGACCAGCGTATGAATATTAACTTCTACCAGTTCGTAATATATTTAGCGCGACTGGCACTAGCCAACGTCATCCGTGGCGAGTATTTGTCCTCAACCCTCAACAGGATGGGCCCCATTGGTCACGACTTCTCCCTCCAGTCAACTTTGTCCTGTGGTTAGCCAGTCACTAGCATCAGATTAATTTTCAAAATTTTGTTTGTAGGGATGTCATTTGATGTGTTTTTCAAGTTCTGACCACGGATTGATATCAGCTAGAGAAACAATTGAATCACTAACTGATAGTTAGCCCAGAAAAGAGGAGGGAAGATTAGATGTGTTGTACCAGTACCGTGCAACTGAAACTTCGCAGCTTGAAGCGGTTGGATCCGGTTGAAAGCAAAAGATGGAAAAAACACTGGTGACTCTAATGCCAATAACCACAAAACCTGGATTGAACTGGTATCCTTGCAGATTGATTGGAGTATTATGTCACGTAGTGTAATAACCTCAGTGTACTCAGTACGTCGATTTTGATCGATGTTTAGGAATGATTACCATCCAAAAAAGAATGATTCACACTAGTCTCTAATTAATTTTTGATTCTTCAAGTTTTAGTTTGCGAGGATTTGATTGAATACAAGTTTGATCACAAATTGACCTGCTGGACAGCTGTTTCGTCCCAGTTTGGGACTCTTCATCAGTACGCATCCATCACAGACTGAAAGTTGCTTGTCATGAGTTCGAACCTCCCTGTGGTGCGTACGTACTGCTGAATAGTCTCAAACTAAGCTGACTGGCTGGTTTTCCAATGGTTCTCTAATCGATTTTAGCTCATCATGAAATTTTTGATAAATCGATAAATCGTGTCTGTATACTGTTACTTGTATATTTTGTATTTCTTAATTTTACAAATTTAGGATATTGGTATATTTCGTCGTTCTGGTCACAGCAATAATAATACTAGCCATATGAATATTAACCCCGACCATAACGGTGAAAGATTGTCAACCTCATCATTAAGTCAAAGAAAGTCTACTAACAATCCATCAATTGTTGATAATATATCAGGACATACATTTAATTATATGCTTCCTATGCCTCATAGTAATACTACTACTAATGGTAATCATCAAAATATGAATGGTATTCAATCACCTTTATTATCCTCTAGAAGTATAGTCGACAATACTACTACTGTACACCAGTTCACTACACCGGTGACAATTCCAACAACTACAATATCCAATGATCATCAACGCGTTCATGAATGGTTACGTGATTCAAGTATGAATATTACTATTAATAATAATGGGTCAAATATTGATCATAATACACGATCCAGTATTAAAAAACCTAACTGTCTATCTGATCGACCTATTCGTCGTCATAGTAATATACAACCATCTCAGCTGCAAGAGTTAATTGAATTTCCTAGTCCAATTGAAGAGCATTTTTCACATCTTCAGTTGAAATCAACATCTCAGTGTGTTATTGCAACTACCACTACTACTATTACTACGACTACTACGACGACGACTTCGCTCTTCTCATTACCACCACTCTAGTACTGTAAACTATTCAACACAATTTAGTAATCCCTCCGTGTCGAGTAAATATTTCTCTAACGATTTATCTTTTATTCCTTCGGAATTCAATAATCGTTCAATAAAAGGATATACTATTGATAATTCTACTCCTCAATTAACACCACGTCAACGTGCATTTCCACGTACTAATCCAACTGTATCACGTCCTTCAGGGAGTACAACATGTACTCTACCTAGACCTACTACTACGACGGCGTCATCAGATAATTCATTAAAACCTATTTTACCTGCTTCAATTGTATCATCAAATCATCAAGTGAATGATACAAATTCTACGAGGACAACACCTATCATGATTGATATTATCGATTGGAGAGAAACATCCTCTGCATCAGCTTCGTTTAATAATAAACCAAAGTTAACTCAACATCAGCAGCCGCAGCATCTTCCTGTTGATAGTCCATTGTCCGCTTCTCCACAACCATCATCTTCTTCCCCACCAATATCGCCTACCTCATTTTCAAGTGCATCATCATCAACGACGACAGCGTTGACAACAGCAAATTCTGATGAAAGTATAGATGATGATAATCTACCGAATGTTCTCCTGGAGAATTCTGAAACGCCTAGTCATCAGCATCAGTGTATAACCTCAGAAACTAGCAGCAATAGTAATCGTCGTATGAAACAGATCATATTCACCGGAGAATACAACAACAACAACAACTGCCGCATACCTTTTTAATAATGATAGTCAAGATTATAGTCAGTATATTTGTATATTGAATGAAGATGACGAGCAATTGAAACCACCGACTCCACCTCCGCGATCAGCTTCAACGTTATGCTCTCAGGGTATATCAGTAGCAAATGATTTTTTTGGTAGTTTTTCAAATCATATCCCATTGGAAATACCATCATCAGCGGTAATAACAACAGCGGCAATGTCGACGATGATGACAACACCAGCGACACCAGTATCATTACATCATCCACATCAGACGATAGAATATTCGCAGACATATTATCCTCCGGTTTGCCTGCAGTCACCAGTTACACCTTCATCTAGTAATAATAATAATCTGTTAATAATATGTCTGCAACAGATATATCACCAATTATAACATCATCTTCATTAACACGGAATCATCCATTACGGGCGAATGTTATTCAACCGAATCATCGTCGACCACATCGGTCACAGTATTTTACACAACATATTCAAACAGGTTAGTGGTGGTTAGTGTAGTGTAGATTTCTTATGAATAATAATCGCATCCTCAGACATTCATGAAAGCAAAGCACGTAGTTCAGTGGAGAAGCTCTTTTCGGCGAATTCATTCCTTCCTTTATGTGTATAATCGCATTTATATTATTTTCATGAATAGGGGTAATAACAAAACTGATGAGTAGTCATTATTATTATTATTATTATTTCCTTTAATTCCTAGAGGAACATAGGGCTTCAGCCATGCGTCTCCATTGCGTTCGGTTCTCTGCTGTAGTTTTCACCTGGCTCCAAGTCTGCCCACACGCTTTCAATTCCTCTTCACATGATCTCCTCCAGGTCACCCTTGGACGACCAACTCGTCGCTTCCCTTTCGGGTTCCACTCGAGGGCTTGTCTAGTGATGTCACTTGATGGTTTCCTCAGAGTGTGTCCAATCCATCTCCATTTCTTCCTGCCTATTTGTTTCACGATCGGTTCCTGGTTGGTTCGCTCCCAGAGATCTTTGTTGCTGATCCTCTCCGGCCATTTGATCTTGAGTATTGAGCGAAGGCATTTGTTAATGAAGGTCTGTAGCTTGTTTGAGCTGCTCTTTGTGACACGCCAAGTCTCTGATCCGTATAGTAGTACTGACTTCACATTGGAGTTGAAAATACGGATCTTATTTTTGACGCTGAATGCTGTTGACCTCCACATAGACTTGAGAGAAATGAAAACTTGTCTTGCTTTTCCGATTCTGGCTTTGATATCCTCGTCAGTTCCTCCTGTAGTTGAGACGATGCTTCCCAGGTAGGTGAAAGAAGTTGTTTCCTTCAGGTTCCTCCCATTTATGCTGATTGTTGTCGGTTGTTGCTGTTGATGTTGGCCAGGAATCTTCATTACCTCTGTTTTGTCTATGTTCACTTGAAGTCCTATCTTTGCTGCTTCTTCTGCCAATTTGTTGCTTTTCACTTGCATATCTTCCAGTTTGTGGGAAATCAGACATATATCATCGGCGAAATCCAAATCCTCCAAGGCTTTTGTGTCGGTCCATTTTATGCCTGTTCCCTCGTTGGTTGCCGTTGTCTGCCGCATTATCCAATCAACTGCAATCAGGAAGATCATTGGTGACAGTAGACAGCCTTGTCTCACTCCCGTCCTCACTTCGAAGGATTCCGTGAGCCTCCCGTTGTGGATTACTTGGCATGCAGCGTTGTCATACAGCTGTTGGATGAGATGTATAATTGTCGGCGGCACCCCGTAGTAGCGAAGTAGTTGCCAAATCACCTCTCGATCGACGCTGTCGAAGGCTTTCTCAAAATCGATGAAGTTGAGATAGAGAGGTGACTGCCATTCCAAACTTTGTTCAATGATAATCCGTAGGGTGGCGATTTGGTCAATGCATGACTTGTTCCTCCTGAATCCGGCCTGTTCCGGACGAAGTTTTTCATCTAGGGCTTGTTTAATTCTCTCCAGGATGATGCGACATAGTATCTTGCTTGGAATGGACAGAAGCATAATTCCACGCCAGTTTTTACATTGACTCAAATCTCCTTTCTTTGGCAGTTTGAATAAGTATCCGTTCTTCCAATCCTCGGGTACTTTGCCCTCTTTCCACACCTTCTCTAGTAGTGGCGTCATCAAGTCCGCTGTTGTCTCTGGGTCTATTTTCAAAGCTTCTGCTGGGATTCCATCTGGTCCTGGCGCTTTCCCAGCTTTTAGCATCTTGATGGCATTCAGGACTTCGGATTTCGTCGGAGGGTCGATGTTCATTGGTAGTTCTGCTTCCGTTGTTGGTATTGTTGGACGCGTTGTAGGTGGCGGACGATTTAGAAGTCTTTTGAAGTGTTCAGCCCAGTGCTTCCTCTGTTCCACCTCTTTGGTGATTGACTTTCCATTGTCGTCCTTTATTGGCTTAATCTGTGTCGAACTTTTGCCCGAAAGGTGCCTAGTTGTTTGGTATAGTGTAGCGAGGTCTCCTTTGCCTGCAGCTTGTTCTGCTTCGTTTGCCATGGTTTCACAATATTTTCTTTTGTCTTCCCTGGCACTTTTCTTCACTCTTTTGTTCAGTGCATTGTAGCTTGCATTCAACTCCTGTTTCTGTTGCTCGTCGGTGCACTGGATAATCTTTTGTTTCGCCACCCTTCTCTCTTCTATTAGTTTCCAAGTGTCCGTAGAGAGCCACTGTTTGTCCTGTCTCTTTTTTCTGCCTAGGACTTCCATGCAGGTTTGACTCCACACCGTTTTCAATTTGTTCCAGTGCTTTTCGACGCTGACCTTTTCGTTGGTGTTGATTTGTGTCTCGGCTTTTTCCCTTATGTTTGCAATGAAGATGTCCTTTGTAGCCTGGTCCTTCAGCTTTTGAGTGTTGAACTTGGCTTGTGGTCTATCTGCAGCTCCTGTTTCCCTGAAAGCTTTTAATTTGATTTGGATTGTCCCTTGTACGAGGTAGTGGTCTGAGCCAACGTCTGCTCCTCTTCTTGCTCTTGTGTCCAGTAGGCTGCGTCTCCACTTCCTCGATATTGTGATAAAGTCAATTTGGTTTTTGGTTCGCCCGTCTGGTGACACCCATGTAGCCTTGTGGATATCTCTGTGCTTGTAAACACTGCCACCAATCACTAGTTCGTTGAAGGCGCAGAAGTCGGCGAAGAGTTCTCCGTTTTCATTCATTTCTCCAAGAGCTTCTCTACCCATGATGAGTTCTCTTCCTGTATTGTCTGGTCCCAGTTTGGCGTTCATATCTCCCATTAGTATTTTAATGTCGCCAGCTGGAGTATTGTCTATTGCTGCCTGTAGTTGTCTGTAAAATTCTTCTTTCGTTTCGAGGTCTGCGTTGTTGGTGGGTGCATAACATTGGATTATTGACACTTTTCTTCCTTTGGAGTTGAATCTGGCGGTCATTATCCTGGACGAGATCGCTTCCCATTGCATCAGGGCTTTCGTTGCCGTTGGTGACATCATGATAGCCACGCCCTCGGTGTGCGTGTGGTTATCTTCTGGGTGACCGGAGTAGATCACTGACTCTCCCGTTGATAATTTGGTGAGTCCACTTCCATTCCATCTGCTTTCACATATTCCCAGCACTTGGATTCTGTATCTTTTCATCTCGCTGGCGATCTGGGCAGCTTTGCCAGTCTCGTACATAGTGCGGACATTCCATGTCCCCACACAGACTTTTTCTTTTGTCGCAAGGAGATTGCTCATGGTGAAGTTTCTGTAGCAGGTTTGTTTACAGGGTGGGGTTGCTGGCCTCACGCCTGAGTTTCGTCTTCGGGTACCTGAAATGGAAGAAAGGTTAGTGTTGCGTGACCGCAGAGCCCAGGGGACATCTGCTTGAGGCCGGTCACACGCGGCCTGGTGTGTCTCAGTAGTGTACTTATCACTTCTGCCCTGTGACACGGCAGCAGAAAGCGCGGTCGTTGTTAATCCGGGCCACGGCCGATCCGGCATGATATTTCTTGGATTTGTTGGGTTCATGGGTTTGGATTGATGAATGATGGCGACTAAGTCCAGCCCCCACTGATACCGTCGCCAATGTATCAGTAGGTTGTGAGGTTTGAAAAATTTCGTTGGCGTCCGCTGCTACTGTCAACGGAGCTACTCAAGGAGCGGTGTGACGACCCAAGTTATCTTCTACTGATACCGTCGCCACAGTCATACCAGTAGAAGTCCGGTTAAGCTGCCGGTCAGCCTCGGGATCAAGCAAAAAAAAATGGAGAAAACCAGCAGAACATCAAAAATTCCATAATTTCGCAACGGTAAAGCCTACAGGGACGAGACAGGTACCAATCGATTCGTCTTGTTGAGAGGAATCCAATGGTATATAAATCAGAGGGTAAAAGCTATTCCTAAGAAAAATAATCGAATTTTCCTTCCTAGCAGTCTCTGCCCCCCTACTGCCCTATGGTTGGTAATGCCCCCTAGCTACATACACAACGGCAAACAACCTGAGGTCACGGAGCTAAAAGTGTCAAGAGAACAGCCAGCGGCATGAACTCTGAGCCTAGAAACAGGTTTCCCCTATAGCCTTTGAAAAATTCCCTATTCGGCTGAGGAGAAGCTATAAGGTGCGAAACCGGTACCAATAGGTAGATCTCGTCGAGAGCTATCCATTGATATATAGCTTCCCTAGGTCCTAGCCTCCCTAATAAAATTTCGGCAGCATGTCCCCTAAGGGCACTAGCCCAGATAAGACAAGTCCCTATTCGGCTGAGGAGAAGTTACAAAGTTCGAAACCAATGTCAAAAGATAGGTCGCTATGAGAGCTATCCATTGATATATAACTTCACCTAAGTCCTAGCCTCCCTAGAAAAAAAATTTTGGCAGCACACAAAGGTAGACAAGAAAATGAGTGATGAAGAGAATCAATAGAGTTTTGACATGTATAAGAGTGAAACAGAATGAGTAATGGTAGAAAGAGATATGAAAGATTACAGAGACTGAATACATCTGCGTAAGCCATTGACAACGAGGATTTTGAGCCATATCACCCATTGTCTCCAGCCGTTGATTCTTAGAGTTCCGAGGGCGGGCCCCAACCCGGAAGTCTGCATCTCCCTCCCTACCTGACTCAGTTTAACTGTCAAGGATTTCATGGATTGATTGATGCCATGTTTTTGTTTGGCCACCACTTACTCCTCTTTTCCAGCCTGCACCTATATCAGCTAGTAATGTCCGTCCGTCGGGGGAGGCGATGGTTATGCATGCGCAGCACGTGACCTAGCCATCTCAATCTATGTAACTTTATAGCCTCTTCGATTGATTTTCCCTCTTTGCCCAACACACACCTTAGTATACCACCTAAAGCGGCGAGTTGGTCGTCCAAGGGTGACTTGGAGGAGGTCATGTGAAGAGGAGATGAAAACGTGTGGGCAGACATGGAGCCAAGACCCTAGCAGAGAACAGAACGCAATGGAGACGCACGGCTGAAGCCCTATGTTCCTGTAGGAATTAAAGGATACAATAATAAATAGTAATAATAATAATAAAGTGAGAAAGAGATCGTAGACATCTATGATCAAAA